AAAACACTTATGTGGCATACAGATGATGGATGTCTCTAAGTAAAGCACTGTATGATTATCTGAATTGCAAAGTTTTTCTGTGAAAAACCATGTTTACTTGAAAGAATGGCAAACAAGTGAGATGGGTTAGTGAGACTTTGGTATTTGGCTGACATTTTCTAGGGGAAAAAAAAAATACAAAGCCTGTCACTTCAAAGAAAACAACTGACAGTGTTTGCTGCCAATGATGAAATTTGAGCTTCCTAGAGAAAATTAGAATTTTGGCAAGTCTTTATGTGCCACCTTGAGCTTGACAGCTTCCCAATACTTAACCATTTTCCTAATGACAGTGTGGTGATAATATATGATTTTTTGATACTGTATAATAAAAGATGGCAAAATTCAGAAGATCTGTACAACTCAGTGAACCAGTATTTTCCAAATAACTATTACACAATGTTACAGAAATCATGCATGGGCAAAAGATCCTGTTAAAGTGAGAAACAGACCAACAGACTGTAATAAAACAAAGTATGAAAAGTTCAATGATATCATTTCAGATTCCACATGGCAACTAACCTTCACAAAACCACCCTTTGTTAACTTCTGTGTAGTACCAAAGAATACCCACAGTTACCTAAAAAGGGTGTAGAAATACTCCTCCCTTTTCTAACTAAATATCTGTGTGAGGATGAGTTTTCTTCATAATTCAACCAAACAGCACATCACAACCAACTGAACGCAGAAAGAGATATCAAAATCCAGCTATCAAGCCAGACATTAAAGAGATTTGCAAAAACAATGCCAACACTTCTCACTAATCTTTCTGAAACAAAAGCACTTTCATTTAAAAAATGCTACTTATGTTAACTTGTACTGGATTTATTATTATTCCGAAATGAATTACTATTTCAATTTCTAATTGGTAAATATCTATATCTATTTTTCCATCTATATCTATCTATATCTATATCGTCACACTAAAAAATATATTGGAGGCTCCAAGAAGTGCATAGAAGAGTCCTGAGACCGAAAAGTCTGAGCACTTCCGGCCTAGAATACCACTGCCTGTACGTGACATCCATGAGGGCTCCTAAGGACAAGGTCTTTGTATTTCGGGACCTAAGAGAAATTAGTACTCTCAGTATTTGCTCCAAAATGCCAGTTCTGGCTTCCTAGTTCTTCCAGAAGAGGGTGAGAAGTTCAGGGCATTAGAGGAAAATTTTCTCTAACATTTCACTGACGGATCAAAGTATCTGATCCCATGCTAAAATCCAGGAAGCCTATGATCGGATAATTCTAAGGTCATACAGAAATCTAGTGGGAAAGCTAAACTCAACTCCAGATCATGAGTATCAGATACATCCTGAAGTTAATATTTCATCTAGATACAGTTTTCGGCAAGTGACTTTTCATTTACACACTCATTTTTGTATTTGGTTATAAATTCCCCGCCTTCTTCCATCCTCTTTCCTCTGCCAACTCTTTCAGTTAGTGTTCCTCTGAGCTCAGTCTTCTCACTTTGCCTGGCACATAGTAAGCACTCGATAAATGGCAGCTGCAATTATTATCACAAACTCTCCCACAGCAACCTGTTCCACCCCATGACTTCAATCACCTCTTACATTTTTAACTTTATATCATCACCCAGACCTCTGTCATGAGCTCCAAACATACAGAATGACCTACTGGGCCTTTCTACCTGGATGTGCTACAGGGACTTCAACTCAGCATGTCCAATGTTTAACTCCTTTATCTTCCTCCTCAAAGCTGCCCCTCCTGCTAGTAGTTCTTCCTGCATCACACTCACCAATAGTTCCTCCTGCATCAACAATCGCTAAAGTCTGAAACCTACAATCATTCCAGACTGTTCCTTGTTCCACTCTCCCTGCATCTACTCTGCCACCAGGTTATGTCCGTCCACTCTACCATCTTTAACATCTCTGAAAACCCTCTCCATTGTTACTGCAACCACCACAAATCCCTCATCATCTCTAGTCTAGTTTCTAGTTATCTTATTGGCTCCCTGCCTCTAAGCTAAAATCCTTCCTATTCAACTCACACACTGACACTACAATAATCTCAAACGCAAATCTGACGCTATTTTCCTAATTATCTTTCTGTGGTTTTCCTGCGGCATACTCTTCGAATGGTTTTACTCATGTATCCCCAAAAGAGTTTTTAAAAATATATATTCCTTGTAAATCTTAAAGTTGAATTCTAAAATTTTTTACCACAAGTTTAAACAAGTTTATTCTTTTGTTAAAAGCTCTTTCCGTGCCCAGCACAGCCATGGCTTGTCCATGGCTCGTGGTCCCAAGAAGCATCTGAAGTGGGTAGCAGCTCCCAAGCACTGGATGCTGGATAAACTGACGGGCGTGTTTGCTCCTCATCCATCTATCAGTTCCCATAAGCTGAAAGAGAGTCTCCCTCTCATCATTTTCCTAAGGAACAGTCTGAAGTATGCCCTGACAGGAGATGAAGTAAAGAAGATCTGCATGCAGAGGTTTATCAAGATCGATGGCCAGGTCCAGACTGACGTGACCTACCCTGCTGGCTTTATGGATGTCATCAGCATTGACAAGATCCGAGAGAATTACTGTCTTCTCTGTGACACCAAAGGTCACTTCACTGTTCGCGAGATTACAACTGAGGAGGCCAAGCACAAGTTGTGCAAAGTGAGAAAAATCTTTGTGGGCACAAAAGGAATCTCTCATCTGGTGACACAATGCTCGCACCATCTGCTACCCCAATCCCCTCATCAAAGTGAACGACATCATTCAGATTGATTTGGAGACTGGCAAAATTACTGACTTCATCAAGTTTGACACTGGTAACCTGTGTATGGTGACAGGAAGTGCTAACTTGGGAAGAATAGGTGTGATCACCAACAGAGAGAGACACCCTGGGTCTTGTGATGTGGTTCATGTGAAAGACGCCAATGGCAACAGCTTCGCCACCCGGCTCTCCAACATTTTTGTTATTGGCAAAGGCAACAATCAGGGGATTTCTCTTCCCTGCGGCAAAGGTATCCACCTCACCATTGCTAAAGACAGAGACAAGAGACTGGCAGCCAAACAGAGCAGCGGGTGAAGTGATCTCGAGGTGACATGATTGGAAAAGTCTTTGTGCCTAATTAAAACTAAATATAACACGATTAATGGCAAAAAAAAAAAAAAAAAAGAGGCAAAAAAAATACTAAACATTTTATAAAAAAGAACTAAGTTATGGATTAGCTGTAATTGGAATAAACATTTTAAAATAAGTTTTAAATATTTTATTGAATAGCACATACCTAAACTAAAAAAAAATTCTTTAAAAAATTTTATGCAAGTTTATCCAATATAGCTTGAAAAAAAAACCTGTGGTCCCAAAGAACATTCCAGACACATTTAACTGTTGTGTTCCCAACAAGGAACAAATGTGCCCTAAAAACAATTATTAGACAAGGAAAAATAGGAAGCCTTCTGGGTTTTCAAGGTAACTTCATTACCAAAGGAGGCCTCCCTGAAATCGGTATTTCCAAAATACTCCATTTGCAACAGAGGTTTTTGCACTTCGGACAAACACTACAGTAAAATTGGGAAGCTTGAGGGATATGACATTCTCACTACCACCCCTTTTTTTGGTAAGGTCAGTTTTAGAAGAGTTCATTAGGAACCTAAAGTTCTAGAAATTGGTTCTTCTAAAGCTTTGTGTGCAGGTACTACATATCCCTTGGAGGTCTTGGGCATTGATTATTCCAGCTTGGAAACCACAGCTCTAAAGGATACAGCTCTAACTCGTTAGCAAAATATCCAATGCCCTTTGTGATCTAATCTCTATTAATTTCCCTCTTCCTATTTGTCAATGGATGGTTCCCATCAAATCCAGCTCAGATATGTCAAACTGTTTCCAGTTCTCTTTTCAGGCCTTGATGGCATCTTCTCTAAAGCTACTTTGTATCTGGAATGTCCTCATCTCTTTGTTCCCAGAAAACATTTGATAATTTTTCAAGGTTCCATTCAGTCCAAAGGATAAGCAGCTGGAAACTAACTGAGTGCCAAAGGGGTGGTTCTTAGGCAAAGTGTCTCAGAAGTTATTGCAAGAAGTGAAAGATGGGATGAAACACTGCACCAAAGGGTCCCCAGCTGCTTGTTGATTGGCTAAATCAACAGGTGCTGAAGTTAAGGAAGATGTCATTTAAAATATCTTAGAGAGCAGAGATGACTCCATAAGGAAGGATTAAAACATTTCCTAGATCCAGAATAGGACTGTGGAGACCAAGGACTAGAGATAATAGTTTTTCAAGTGACTATGGGTTAAATAACTTTCTAATGTTCTATCAGAGCACACACCACATAGTATGACAAATGCTTGTTTACTTGATTAAAATTTCCCCTAGACTACAAGCTCCGTGAAGACCCTATCTTGATCACCACTGTATCCCCCCAGCGCCTTCCATAGTGCCCTGGTTCATTAAATATTTGTTGATGTTCATGAAAAATTGTTGAATGAGTAAATGAAGGAATGGACGGATGAATGGTTAAATTCCACAGGTTCTCAGGTACTGTTTGAATCTCTACAGTTTAGTATTTTTCTATAGATACTGAAGATGGGTGAGTAAAAAAAGGTATCCATGTTAAAGTCACCTATGAAGCCTGAGAGGAGCTTGGGCTCACACCCAAGGGAGAATTTAAACCCCAGAGAGGCGGGAAAGAGGCACTGAGGCCCAGTGCGAGGGGATGCTGCAGGGTTCGGGTACCCAGAGGCGGAGCCGACTAAGTTTACGAGCATAGCGAAGGGAAAAAAGGGTTCGGGAAGGGGGGCGCGGGGATGGGGGTGGGGCACGAAGTCCCGGCCGGGTGAAAAGCCGAGGCCCCCTGGCCTTCCAAAAAATCGAGAAGGTGAGGCCAGGAAGCCGGGCTGGAGCGGAAGCGGCTGGAGGGCTAGAGACCCGCGTGGATGGAGCGGGGCAGACGGAGGGGCGAGACAGCAGGGCTGGTAGAGAGTCTCTCCCCCAGCTCCGCGGTCACACTCACCTAGTGGACCCAGCTTCGCCCCGGCAAGGCGCCGGCTCCGCGTTGCTTCCTCCCTTTGGCCTGCTGGGCGAGTGGGCGGCCTCAGGCGCCCCTAGCAACCACGCACCGCCACGCGACCCGCGCTCTCAGCCGCCAGCGCCGATACTGCCTGCCACGCACTGCGCGCGCCCCCAGTGGACGGACTGAGGGCCTGGAAGGAGCGATCGCGGCGCTGGGGGTGCAGGCGCGCGGAGTCTCGGAGGGTTGTGGGCCTGGGAGGATAGGCAGTCACCGGCCTTGCGCACGCGCGGTCGCTTCAGAGAGGGTGGAACCCGGAGAGCGGAATTCTGGGAGATGTAGTGTGAGATTAAAGCCTAGAAGGGCTCCGTTTTGGTACTCCAGGACTCTACCCTGATTCTACCAACCCCCAAGGACTGTTTCGTTGGCCGTGCCTTAATTCGTTCTTCTAAAATCAAAGATATCGAGCTTTATTAAAGAATTTTCTTAGTAGTTCTTTCAAGTGAAAGCTTTTGTGTTTGACCCCAGGAAAGGAGAGATCGCCAAAGCTACTATGCTTCCCTTCAACCCCTTGCCCTAACTCCCACCCACCCAGCAGAGTACAACTACAACCACCTGCTTTATGGACTTCAAGCGTGAATTTTAGGGAACACTGATTCGTTATTTCCGCAGGCAAGACAGATCGTACCCCCTCAGTTTCAAATGTCCCTACACCTAATGGATTTGAAAATCTAAACAGAGCTGGAGAGTAAAAAGATCTTTTCTAGTCTACTATAAAAATAAAAGGGACAATGAAAGATGAAACTGCCCTAATGAAAACAATCTGGACCAGAGCAAGGATGCTTAATAAATAATTGATTTAGGCAACAGTCATTGATGGATGCTAAACCCATGAGAGGATTAATGGGGGAATTTTACACTGGAAGGCTGTCTGCCAGCACCTGTACATTTTAAGTAACCTTAGATCATTAAACGTGGGACAGTTATAAATTATGTCTTCTGATGTGATGCAACTTGAACTACAGTGTAATATTTAAGGTAGTAGTGTATTTTTGTCGGAAAAAAAAGTTGAATCTGAATCTAATTAAGATTTTGGCTCCAACTTCTAGTTTGTAGTAAATAAAGGAAACAAACAAAACCACAAAAAAGCAGACAAATCCAGAATGTGGGCCAATGTACAGATGACCTTGTTACTTCAACAATTTCAGAGTATAAAAAAATGATATGTTCTATAGGAGACAAGACATAATCAAATGCAACGAATGGGCTTTCTTTGGATCCAGATTCAAACAATTTGACTGTAAAAAGATATTTTTTGAGACAATTGAGAAATCTGAATATGCACTGGGGACATAAGAACATAGCCAATATTAAGAAATCATTTCGTTGTTGTAGTTCAATGAATGATGTCCCCACCCTCTACCCCCTAAGGTATATCCATGTTTAATTCCCATAACCTGTAAATATTACCTTATACTATGGCAAAAGATGCGATTAAGGATTTTACAAGAATGATTGTGAGAGGATTAAGGAATTTTTCTGGATTATCTGGGTAGGCCCTAAATCCAATGGCAAATGTCCCTAGTGAGGCAGAGGGAGTTGTGACAGACACAGAGAAAACACAGAAAAGAGGAGGCAATGTGACCACGGAGGTAGAAATTGATGAGGCTACAAGCCAAGGAACACCTGGAGCCACTAGAAGGTGGAAGAGGTAAGGAATGGATTCTCCTTTAGAGCCTTCTGAAGGAATTGGGTCGTTTGAACACCAGTTTCAGACTTCTGGCCTCCAGAACTGTGAGAGAATAAATTTGTTGTTTTAAGCCACTAAGTTTGTGGAAATTTGTTGTGGCAACCGCAGGCTATTTTGACATTTTGGTTAAGGAAGTATCTTATTTTTTACAGATACAGACATATGTTTTTCATGATTAAATGACGTGATGCTAGGGGTTTGCTTTAAAATACTACAGCAAACACCTCAGTAGCAATAAGCAAAGCACCCAGGTCTTAGTTTCTAATACAGATAGTCCCCAACTTACCATGGTTCGACTTAGTGTTTTTTTGACTTTACAATGGTGTGAAAGTGATATGCATTCAGTAGAAACTATACTTCAAATTTTGAATTTAATCTTTTCCCAGACTAGTGATATGCAGAATACTACTCTCTTGTGATAAAATTTAGTTTAATGCTTCAAACATTCTTCAGACCCAGGGTGTTCAGCTGTGTATGTTAATGGTAAGTATCCTACAACCATTCTGTTTTTCACTTTCAGTACAGTATTCAATCAATTACATGAGATATTCAACACTTTATCATAAATAGACTTTATGTTCCATGGTTTTGCCCAACTTTAGGCTAATGTAAGTGTTCTGAGAAGGGATCCTTGGAGAACTAGGTTTCTAGGACTAGTTTCTAGGACTAGGGCAGGAAATATACAAGATGAGCCTGAAATATCTTGTAGTTCCAGAAAGGTGTTAAAAAAAAAAAAAAACTAAACAAAACCACATTGTTGGGAGTATGTCACAGGAGCTAACTAAAAGAACTCCCAATGACCAAAGCTGGAACAATGTGAGCAACAAAATTAAATAAAGTAGTAGTTTATAATCGAAAGTATAAAACAAATATCCATGAGTCCCTGGTATAAATAAATGGTTGACTACATTAACAAATGCGATAAAGAGGCAAATCTCCTGTGCAGAATTCCAAATAAATTATGTAGGTACTCAGCCCTAAAGGAAGAGGAGCATTACTCTTTACTCCTTAAGTGCTGGTTGTGCAGGGACTTGCTTTCAAAGAGCAGAGTACAGAAAAGGGAGTGGGGTAGGGCAAAAAGAGTAACAACAGAAAAATCTGACAAACACTACTTCAGCTAGGTAATCAAGGTCAACATCAAGAGGTATGATCATGTAGATAGTAAGTGCCCTTGGTATGTGATGAAAATATCACTTTACTTCTGTAGTCTTCCTCCCCAAAACCTATAACCCTAGTCTAATCATGAGAAACATCAGACAAATTCCAATAGAGGGACATCCTACAAAATACCTGACCGGTACTTCTCAAAACTGTCAAGGTCATCAAAAACAAGAAACTTCTGAGAAAGTGTTACAGCCAGAGGAGCCCAAGGAGACAACTAAACGTAATGTGTAATGAGATCTTGGAACAAAAAAGGGATGTTAGGTAAAAGCTAAGGAAATCTGAATAAAATATAGGTTTTAGTAAATAATATATAAATATTGGCTCATTAATTTTAACAAATGTATACTATAAAATGTTAATATGGAAAATTGTGTATAGGAGTGGGGTATGTGAGCTGTGTACTATATGCTCAATTTTCTATAAATCTAAAACTTTTCTAAAATAGAAAATCTATTTAAAAAAAAAAGATACGGCCACAGAAATTTGCCCAGCTCACCTTAGCCAAGTGATCAGAGGTAATTTCACCAATAACAGGGCAAAGCAACATCATCAACTTCCAGATATGATGTACTAAGAGGATACATCATTACTTATGTCATGTTTCTGACAAAAATGTATAACTTGAATCAAATCACAGAGAAACATTAGATATACCCAAATTGGCCAGTACTCTTCAAAATGTCAATCATTGTCATAAAAGACAACCACAGGATGAGGAATGGTTCTAGATTAGAGGCTAAAGAGAATCACAACCAAATATAAATCATGATCTTAGATTGGATCCTGGACCAGGAAAAAAACTGGTATAAAGAACATTATTGGAACAATTGGCAATATTTTAATAAGAGCTGTAGATTAGTAAATAGTATTATGCCAATGTTAAATTTCCTAATTTTGTTAATCGTATCAGTGGTTACATAAGTAAATAGCCTTGATCTTAAGAAATTTACATTTAAGTATTTAAAGGTAAAAGGGCCTGATATTTACAACTTACTCTCAAACGTTTCAGAAAAATATGATAAAACTAATTGTGGCAAAATGTCAACAATGAATCTGGGTAAAAGGGTATATGGGAGCTCTTTGTCTTATTCTTAGAACTTTTCTTGAAATTTTAAGTTATTTCAAAATAGAATGCTTTTTAAACTATAGCAATGACAAAATTAAAAAAGGAATAGGTAGAACCAGGGTGGCAAAATGTTGATAACAGCTGAATCTGTGGGATCAGGGGTATGGAGGTTTACTATGCCATTCTTTCTACTTGTGCATGTTTAAAAACTTTAAGCTCCCTCTCCCTTCCAAAAAAAGGTAAAACACATACAATTATACACAGGCACAAATTCTCAAACCTTCCATTCTTTGAATTCCAGGCACTACTCAGACCGTTCACTCCAAATCCTCTCAGTACCTCGTGCAACGACTGCTTAGTGTAAAATTGTTTTCAAATTTCTAATCCTTTAGCTTGTGTGCTCCCAAGAATGGGAACATGTTTTCTTATTACACATCATCATAAAATGATTAACTATTGGTTTATTCAATAGCCTAGAGTGTTTGGATGTATTTTTAATTTCTCTACATCAAATTGTTTATGTACCAGATAAGCATGGTGTTTCAAACTAGTATTTAATAAAATATTTTGGGGAAAAAATAATTCTTTCATAAGTTAATTCTAATTTCTTTTAGAAAAAAATCCAGATTTTAAAATACTATATTTGCCTAAATCCAGGCAAGTCTTGTGAAGTACTGTGGTTTGGTTAAAAACAAAAACAAAAAGTTCTGATCTGTTAGAGATACACACCGAAGTACTTATGGGTAACATCATACGTTGCCATCATACGTTGTTTTAAAATACCTGAATAGAAAAATAAGAGATTGATAGTATAGCTGTTGAAGCAGTGATGGTTTTCACTGGACTCTCTACTTTTGTGTGTGAAATTTCCAACTAATACACCTGACATGTTCAAAAATGAACTTAAGTTTTCCTACCCACTACCACTCCACTAATAGCCTTGCCCATTTCAGCTAATGGCAATTCTATCCTTCCAATTATTCACACCAAAAACCTTGGAGTCATCTTTGTTTGCTTTCCTTTGTTAACACCCCCACATCCAATCAGTTCAGAAATCTTCTTTGCTCTAGGTTCAAAACATATTCAAAATACAACTACTTTTCACCACTCCATTGGCACCACCCCAGTCCAGAACACCATTATCTCTGGATTATGTAATACTTGGATTATTACAATAGCCTCTTAACTGTTCAATAGCCTCTTATCTCTGGATTATGTAATACCTGGATTATTACAATAGCCTCTTAACTGTTCACCCTGCTTCCCATCCTCCCCAACTCTGCCAGGCCATTCACAACACCAGAATGAAGAGTAATCCTTTAGAACATAAGGTAGATCACAGCCTTCCTCTGTTCAAAATTCTCCAATAGATCCCTACTCTATTCAAAATACAAGTTCTACAAGGCCTACAACATCTGGTCCCCATGACCTCCTTGTCCTCATTGCCTATTGTTCTCCCCCATCTTCACTTCTTCCATCCAAACTGGCCTCCTCATAGCTCCAAAAGCATGCCAGGTACCTCAGGGCCTTTGAGGTGATCATTCTCTCCGCCCATGCTTTTTCCTCAGATAGCTGCACTGCTCATTCCCTCATCCCTGCAATTTTCCCCACCAGAATGGAAAGACGATGACAGCGGGCACTGCTTTATATCCAGTGCCCAGAAGAGTTTCTGGCATATAGAAAAGACTCAATAAATGTTAAATTGAATTGAAATAATTTAGATAGGAAGAAATTATGGGGTCTCTAGAAAAAACGTTATTTTTGCTAAAATATAAACACAGTCGGTGGGCAATGAAGACAAGGACTAAATAAAATTCCTCGTAAAAATGAGGAACATCTTTCATTTCAACAACTGGAATTTAAGGAAAGACAAAAAATAGTCTCCTATTTTATGGATGGAGAAATGAGGGCCCTCGGAAGCTTGTCACAAGCTAGCCAATGAATCAAGGTTTAAGCTTTTCCAGCTGGATTGTGATTCTACCTAATGGGTCTGCCGAATACCCCTTTATGGTAAACTGCACAATCTCCACAAACAGCTACCCTAGTAAAGCATCTGGGCTTCCCTGTGCACCGAAACCCCACCAAATATTAAAACTAAGTACTAAGACTGAGATCTCAAAGCAATCCCATTTATCTCTCTATTTAATCCTATCCTTTCCTATTTCAGCTCCACTGGCTTAGGGTTGAAAGTAGGTATCCACCTGTAGCTCATTTGGGGTGGAGGAAGCCGAGAGGCAGGAAGAGACAGAAATTACCTCCCACACCAGGATCTCGTGTGAACAAGACACCAGTTCTTCCAGCACGACACAGCAGCTCAAGGGAGCTGACCCACCCAACCCCTTGCCCTGGCAGCTCAGAGTAAGGTAAGGCAAACCTTTTATTACAAGAGTTTACAAACAAATCTTAAAAAAAAACAACAGCACAACTCCACACTCCCTCTCATGGATGAGAATGTGGGCTAAAGGCTGGGGAACCCTCCACAACAGGGACTGATGGCATTTATCCCCATAGCCTAGAGCTGAGACAGGCTGTCTTCATCACTGTCCTGGGGCCAGTGCACCTAAACCCAGAACCTGCTGGGAGGAATATAGAAAGGAAGAGCTCTCTCAGGTAGATGGTGTCTCCCTAAGGCTTGGGAGGCATGTTCCTGGGATTAAAGGCATTGTATTGGAGAAAAGACCCCTGGATGTAGAGAAGGAAGGAATCTTCTCTGGCACCAACAGCAATGAAGTTTACTAGTTGAAATCATCTTGAATCTGGGGGTAGGAAGAAAATTAATACAGAAATCTCTTCTAGTTTCTTGTTCTCAAATCAGTTGAGTTGGCAGCTTATCTCTCTTTTTAAATCTCTTTTGCTCTTGGTTACCAGTTGGTGGTTTGTATTGTAGAAAAAGTTGGCAATAGTAGGGCAACGAAGGTTGAAGGCTGGACCCCAGAAATCTGGGATCACGTGCTGTGGGTTGGCCTCAGGAGATGAATGAGTTTCCTGCAGTGTTTGGCAGAGGCAGGCCTGGGACTGCTGTGCGGCAGTAACTGATTCCCCAGAGAGAGCAAGGCTAATTTCTCACTGGCACCCAAGGACACCAGCACCTGTGGGATAGAGAGCAGATGACAGAACACGATGTGCAGAGGACTCTCATTTGGCCTAGCAATTCCCACTCCAAGAAAGGAAGAAAAAGAAAATGGGCTCTTGGAGACCCAAAATAGATTGTATGGGACAAGAGAAACCTTGGAGACAGGAATTGTCAGGACCAGAGGTCTACTTCCATTCTCTCTGGCTACAGACCATGAAACCAAGGCTCCAAGGGATGTATGCACTTGACCCCAGGAAAAGGCAATGAATACAGCAGTGATAGTAAGCCAAAAAATGTGATTCCCAGCGAGTGGATCTGACCAGTGAGGCTTAACCTCATTACCACCAAGAATCCCTTTTATTATGTCCCCACATGGATTACATATTACTATTCTGTAATACATATTACTATCCTGTCAAAATTTCATGAACCACACAATGCTACCACACTGAGCTATTATAACTTGTAGATTTAACCTGATTATAGGTAGAAATGTAATTTCATTGGGCTCTTTACATACTGAAAGTTGAGGAGAAAAACCAGAATAAAGCAATGGTTAAGAGTATGGACTCTGGAGTCAGACTCTCGAGTTCAAAAGTCCAGTCCTATATACTAACTTTGTAATTTGGACAAGCTATTAAATTCTTTGTGTCTCTGTTTTATAGCCTGCAAAATAAGGAATATAATAGCCTAAACCAGATAATAAAGGGAAAATACTTAGCGTGATGCTTTTCACATGGTAAGTGCTAAAAAAGATAGCATCTTAATGGCCCCTAGAATGAAACCACCCTATACGTCAGCATCTCTAATCTTCCCTCACCTCCCTCCCACACAGCCTCTGGAAGAGAGAAACGGTGGTCCTTGAGATTCCAGGCATGTCCCAGCCAATGGAGCCCTCTTCCAGGTCTCTTCCCTTCAAGGGTGGGAGATGGTAGATGAAAAACTAATCTCCAAGACACTGCCCCTGAGTTTCCTGCTCCCAGAGAGGGACATGACTTGGGTTTCTGGATGTCCCAATTCCTCAGACTATCTCAGAAAACTGTTGTGAAATACAACCCATCATCATGGTTCCTAAGTCCCCTGGGGTGTACCTGATGGATGCAGGGCTCCTGGCGGAGGCTCCGGAGGGCAATGAGGGCGGCCTCCTTCACATTTGGCTGGGGGTCTCCACATGCCATCTCTAGGAGCCGCTGGGGTACTTGGCACTGCAACAGCTCTTCCCCCAACCCCTCAGGCCCCAAGTTGCCCAGAGCTGACACAGCATTACACCGGATTCCAGCCTGAGGATCTCCAAGCAGCTGGGTCATACCAGGTACTGCAGCTGCCAGGGCAGGTCCCAGAGGACCAGCTTGGTAGGCTGCATTGCCCACAGCAAAACTGGCACTGCGCCGCACAGCAGGGTCCTTGTCTCCAAGCCCCAGCAGCAGGAGGTTGAGCAGTCCAGCCTGGCTCTGCAGTGCCCCACGCAGGGCCATGCTGTGTTGAAGCAAGTGTCCCAGGAGCCCATAAGTACGGGCTCGCACAGAATTCTCTGGGTGGCCCAGAAGGCTGCGCAGGGGCCGATAGGATTCATCAGAACCAGCCAGAAGTTCTTGGATAAAGGACAAGTGGCTGGGAGACAGAACCCGGGCTGTGTGGGCCAGAAGAGAGAGCAGGTCAGAGGTCAGCAGCGGCTGGTCACCCAGGAGGGCAACGGAGAGGAACGAGATGATGGTTCTAGGTGAGGCAGCCACTGTATTCACAAACTGGTTGAGAGAGATGGGATTTGTGAGGGCCAGGCGTGTGAGGAGACTGATGGGCAGCTCAGCTTGTGGCAACGGAAGATGGTGGCAGCAGACCTGGGTGGGGGGAAGGGAGCAAGTGAAAGTAGTTCGAGAAGAGGGAGAATACACTGCAGCTCGATAGCTAGAAGGAGCCCAAATTTGGGAGAAAAAGCCAAGCGCCAAGCTACAAGAAACACCACAGGGAGCTGGGAGAGCTGACCCACAGCACTCCACAGGAGACACAATGTGGACCCCAAGAGAATAGTTCTTTTCTGAGTTCAGTCATTGCTCTTGTCAAAGACCCACTGCTTAATACCAAGAATTGCCAGAGAAACAATTCCCGACTGAGGAGCTGGGTCTCCAGTGCCTAGACTGGGATGTTCTTCCCACTGAGCTCCAGATAAGGGGCTGATGAAAGCACCATCCTCAGCTCTAACCACACACCTCTGCACAGGCCTGAATGCTTTCTCCACTCCAACTCTGAAATCAAGCCCGATGCTCCACTCTTACAGGGGCCAAGTGGAGCCCTGGAGCTGCTGGAAAGTGAATTAGAGTGCACAAGGGGGTGGGCCATCTTCCTCTCCCACCTTCATGCCTGGGTAGCTTCCAAGTACCTGTAGCAGGTGGGCTGCAACTTCTGAGTCCGTGAGGTCAGCCAAGACACCCACAAGGAGGTCAGCATCCACATCCAGGGCAAAGGGGAAGCAGAGGATCTGGCAGACAGAGAGCACCACGACGGGGAGAAACTCAGACCCGTGAGGCCTGAGGG